ACATAATTCATTTCAATATAAGTGAAGTTACAATAGTGACGGTATAAGAATATCCAGTTCGCTATATCGTCGCGAGGTGTCGTAAGAGGCTCTATAGCCAGCAGCGTCGTCCTAATAACAACAAAAAATAAAATTAAAATGCTGCGGCTGCCAACTCACCCTTCAAGCGTGGCAACTTTGGCAAATATCGCCCCTATGGGGTAATCTATGGGGAAGGCCTATGTTCAGCAGTGGGCTTAACAGTAAAGGTAAAGTTAAAGTAAAGTAATATCCTGTATACTAGAACAGAATAAATTAATAATAGTACTACGTAATACTAGTCCCCTTTCCGACCACGAGCCTCCATTTAATTCTAAGAGTTAAATCCGGCACGTCTTGGGAATATTTTATTTCTAAGACCTACATGAGGTTTCATCACGACGTTTTCTTCACCACCGAGCATTTGGTAAATTACCACTTAAGTTTGTAATTAAAATTTTCTTTGATGTGGTGGTGGGAATCGGACGTGTATCGTGAACTTAGTCTGAGCTGGCTTAGTCTTTAGCTTAGTCTGAGCTCCAATAGATCTTGTCATTTTAATAGTTATTAGAATAATTTAAAATTAAAAATTTTGTACAGCCGACTTCAATATAAATTATTAAGAATAACTGATAAACTATTGGTTTAACCTTGATCAATTTCAAATAAAAAAGAATCATCGAAATCGGTTAACCCAGTACAAAGTTATGAGGTAACACACATAAAAAAACATACATAAAGTCGAATTGAGTACAGTCTCTTTTTTGAAGTCGGCAGAAAAAAAAGAAATTACATTAGACTATTCAGTAATTTTAGTCATAAGTAATTTCTTATACGGCTGTAATCAAATTCTGAAACAAACATATTATTATTATGCTTATTAGATAAAATAAATGTACTACTTCATCGTTATTAAAATGATTTTCCTAAAAGTTCCTGTATATAATGTATAATGCAAAGGAGACTCTAAGCCTTTTGTATTACATATTATATTTAAATGAATAGACGAAGCCTTAGTACAAGGTTATTGCTGTTACACCTGCTGTAAGTTGCTGCAGTTCGAGAGATTGCAACTGACTTTTGAAATACTGTAGTTATTGCGTTTTTCCCTACGATACTTTCAAATACCGTAATTATTTCTACAGATTTATATTAATACTGATTTCTTGCTACTATAAATTAATCTCCAGCCCATTTTATTATTTTTACTCCTCTCTGACTTAAAAGGCTTATCACTTATCAAAGTTTAAGAAGTGTACACCCTCAACCTGATAAGCTAGGAGTGGAGTATTCACGGCGAACTAAGAACCATTTCGTAAGTACAAAACAAAATTCATGAAGCAATTCCGTTAGAGGCAAACTCTTAAATCACATCTTTCCACATTGCCTAACCAAGAGTAAATTGGTAGAATCGTGGAATAGAAACATGGTGTTACATAATACGTAATGGTGTACCAAAACTTGTGTTTTGTAGGGTGGCCATAAATTTAATCTATACAAATAAATAAAATTGAAGTGTCTGTTGGTAATGTCAAAATAACAGCTTGTTACTAAATACATATGAAAGTATTTACGGTACTTATAACAAAAAAATAATTTTAAAATTTTTGTCTGTCTGTCTGCCTGTCTGTTTGTTCCGGCTAATCTATTGAACGACTGAACCGATTTTGACGGGATTTTCACTGGTTTTTTTTTGCGTCCAGAAGCAATGAAAAGGGCTACCCTCCGCGAAGCGGGGGAGTGAGGTGGTGAATGCTCTAAGCATACCACGACAGCCGGCTGCGTGGTTATTTGGGACTCACTGCAAAACCTAAGTACCTACTCACTAAACACCACCTGTGAGATTGGCATTGGCTTGTGTGGCCCTGGCCTTCCTGCGGAATTGGAAGCGACCTCTTTAGGGAAAAGGGATTTTGCACTGGCAGATAGCTGAAGTTGTTAGGAGTAACTTAGACTACTTTTATTTTAGTAAAAGAATTAGGATTCCGCGCAAAAAATTTAAAATGAAATCCAACCGTATGAAATTCCACGCGGGCGAAGTCGCGGGGAACAGCCAATTTTTAATAAAAAGTAAAAAAATTGACTTAAAAGATATAAAAAGTATAAAAATTTCACATTGCAAAGTTGGTATTGACACAAAGTGAATTTTTTTTAACGCTTTTTATTCAATATAGTATAGATTATAAATAATATTTATTGAAAGTCACTCCTTTGTTTAATTTACCACTGGCTCGTAAAAAACCTCTGTCCTGAGAAGAACCAGCAAGAACTAGAGGGTACTTTAAAAAAATACAGCTTACAATCATTAATGATAAAAAATTAACAACACAAAACAAATTAGAAATAGCTTGGTAACGATCATCTAATTCCCAGTGGTTAACATCATCCATAAATACCTTAATATTATAATAACCTTTTTATATAATATATTTTGAGGAGGTCAAATTTTGTATATTATATATCTATTGTATATTTATTGAAAATTAAAGGTCCGACTTCAGAATGTACAATTATTTATATTCTTTTTAGTTCTTTAAAGTCGGCTTTTACTTTTCAATTTTCATTAAAAATTATTTTTATATATACCCTACAAAACACAAGTTTTGGTACTTACTTACCCTAATAAACCATTCAAAAATTTCCATTTATGTATACATTATGTATAAGTATTTCATTAATTGCGACACAAGTATCAAGTAGTCAAAAGTAGAATCTATATAAATCTATCTTGAGTCTATCCTTAAAATTTCATAGTACAAGTACGCGAACCTGCCGTGGTTAATTCCCGCCGGCATCAATAAAGTTATTAATTGCAATTTTAAGTGCTAATTTAACCACTGTAAAGAATTTCGTGACAAAATCTGGATTATCTGAGATAAACAAAAATAACATTTTAAAACATGTGAGCTTGCTCTTCTTTGCCCAAAAACGTCACACGAATGAGAGATTCCTCCTTTACATCTTCACGGGAGTAATAGATTAAATAGATAGACTCTGTGTTGAGTTAAAATAATTGGATTTAATAGTTGACTGCGGCATCATTCGTAATGGCCAACCTTTAATCCAATATTGAATATTGACCTTGATGATTGATTGCCACACATCATGGTACATACTTCACCGTTAACGCGCCATCTAGTTGTAAGTATCATTACGCGGTTAACAAATCGATAAGATAGTTGTCGACGATCGGCTCTAGATTTATAGTAAACTAGCTGTGCCCGCGGTTTCACCCGCGTATATCACGCGTCTGCGCCTTGCGACATGCGAACTTCGAGAGAGACATCACAACGGACGGTTGCTGAATTAACAAAGATTTAAAAAGTGAAATATGTTACTAAAATTACATGGTTAACGTAATTGGTGGTTATGCATGACACAGGTACTGATACGAATAATGTGGCCTATTTTGTACCGGCGTTACTATTTCACATTTTAACATGAAAAAGTAGTTTCTCTATTATCAATAGTTTCCGCAGCGTACGCGATATAAGGATTCTTTTTGGTATTTTTTTCAAACCTTGAAGTTTTCATACGGATCCCTAACTTTTTAAAATATTATATAGCCTATGTTCATCAGGGATAATGTAGGATTCTAATGGTGAAAGAATTTTTCAAATCGGTCCAGTAGTTTCGGAGCCTATTCAATTCAAACAAACAAACAAATCTTTCCTCTTTATAATAGTAGTGTAGACTAATTTCAGATGCTATTTGGAAATAAAAGAAAGCTTCTGTACTTGTCTACTGGCAGAAAGGATGGTAGCACGAGAAGCTCTTCTTTTAATTTTTTTAAATAGTGTTTTGCAATATAACCGGCGTAAGCTACTTCGTTTAAGTTAAACGAAGTTACTTACGCCGGTTATATTGACGATAAACGGTTTAACGTGTATCTTACGATAAGTAGATGATGTGGCCTATAGACTATAGATATCTAAATCTAGCCTCGAATAAAAAAAAGTGTAGAGTTGTCACCTCTGATGACTAAGATAGAATGCCTGACTACCATTAAAAATAGGTTTCCGATCCGGTTCTTTACACTCACCATAGAAAACACAGTAACATTAATTTACTATTTTACGCTGGTATTCTGTGAGAGCGTGGTCCTTCCCCGGTCGAGCCGACCTATTCGTGCTACAACTATACTACTAATATAGTAGCAGCATGGTTCTACCACGTATTGCTAAAATGAAACAGGAGATGAGCAGCGTCTTCGCGATGAAAACTCAAAAAAAAAAACAACTGCGATTGTCAACCCGCCTGCTTAGCTTGGTAACTATGGCAAAAATCTCGTCTGCAAGGCAGTCTTTGAGAGGAGGCCTATATTTTTAGTGGACTTTGAAAGGCTGTAATGATAATGATAATAATGATGAATATTGTAACCAACTAGAACAACTAAGGTCCCACAGGTGCGTTTGCTACTCTAAACTAAGGTAGAACGCTGTTAGGCGTTCTATCTTAGTTTGCGTAGCAATTATTTTAGCTCTCCATACTATTTGATACGGTGCGCAATAGTTAATGGGTGAATGTCTGCAGTACGAACGGGTCGGCTCGCCCAGTGACCTATATACCAACATAATCTTGCCGTGTTTTAACCAACTTCAAAAAAGGAGGAGGTACTCAATTCGACTGTATTTTTTATTTATTTTTATGTGTTTTACCTCAGAACTTTTTTTATTTGAAAGCTAGTGCTTCTCATGTGGTCCCATATAAATTTGATCAAGATGTGATCAGTAGTTTTTGAGTTATCCTTAATAATGTGATTTAATTGACTTCGACTACATTGATGTAGTTGAAGTCACATTTTATTTATATTTTATGTATATACCTACTTCAGGTTGTACAAAATACAAAGTACAACGATGAATTCCAAATTCCTTTGATGTGATAACGCATTTGCATTTTGATTCTTAAGATAGGATAGGAATGAAGCTTGCGGGCAGATCAAAAACAAATAAAAGAATGTGTTTTTCTTTTTTTTTTAGAGGATGTCCTGCTACGACGTTTCTTCGCTAGTTGCGGATACAGCTTGGAGCGCGCCAAGCGGACAATAGATTTCTTCTTCACGCTTAGGTCAACGGCCCCCGAATTGTTCTGTAAGCGAGACCCTTGGTCGCCGGAGATCAGGCGCGTCTTCGAAATTACGTAAGTATCAAACTGTACAAAACTACTAGTGTTCTTGTTAAATTGATATGTGCGCGATAAATATTGTCACGTAATATTGAGAAATGTCAGAATTCCCTTAAACCGCAGAGAAGTCATATATTCTAGTATTTTTATACATTTACTAGCTGGCAAGGCAGACGTTGTGCTGCCCTTTTCGACGACCCTTCATATAAAAAATTCTTAAATTCGTAATAAAAAAACATTGAGTGTCACTTATCAGGATAAAAACTATCCTATCTCTCAAGTTGGACCAAACTGCACACAGTGTGCAAAATTTCACTGGAATCAGTTCAGGAGTTCATCGCGGACAAACAACGTGACACGTAATTTTTATATATAAAGATTTACAAAAACATATAACCTAATAGGGACAAGTTCTCTGTATCTGTTTTCCCCAAAGCGATAGGGAGATATCAAAGAACAGGGAGCTGCAATGACCACGCCAAAAAAAAGGGTTTGGAAGGAAAATTGTTAAAGCCATGATAGGTGGCTAGCCCATGGTCTACAGTCTACACAATTACACTTCCAATATCCTTTTATTCTCCTTTCAGATATGCTAGACAAGTAACACAGTTGGAAAATTTTTTTTGTTATAAGTCCCACTTAAACATGGAACTTATAAAGTCCCAGACCAAAATGAGACCTTGGGGACAGGGCTTGCATGACCGAATAATTATGGGTTATATCGGTTAAAGGTATGACGTCATATTTTTTATAGCGTAACCTTAAAATAGCGATACACACATTTTTCGATAGAGAAAAATAACGCTAGCGGTATTTTTTTCGCTATCTAATTATCAACTTATTGGTTTTCTTCTCCTTGTGATTCAAAATTATCTTACTACCTTAGTTTTCAATTAGATTCTTAAAATTCCTTAATTGTCATTGTCAAAACAACAGATGCTTTTGGTTACACAAACAGATATCTTTGCAGTATGTTTGGTTACCAATATAATTTCGGTTATGTAAAGGCTATAATATACTTATACTAGGGTATAACGATACGCCTAAAAAATAGCGTCGCCGTTATTTTATACCGGTGACGTATCGGTAACCAATTTCGGTCTACCTTTGAAAATAGCGATATCAAGCCCTGCTTAGTGATATTTTACTAAATGTACAACACCCATCACGGAGAGGAAAAACAGCGTCAAAGGTGCGAAACCCCTGATACTCATTCGCCAATCCTCGTGCTAAGCTAAGCCCTTCACGCGAACAGTTACTGAGCTGATAAGGTAGTCATGATGTGATCACGCAAATCATTGTCATTTTAATAATTAAGTTTAATAAATTAAAGTTTATTACGGCTGTTTTATATATACACCACGAATGGGTCGGCTCGACCGGAGAAATAACACACTCTCACAGAATACCAGTGTGAAAAAAAAAACAGTATAATGCTGTGTGTTTCGTATGGTGAGTGAAGAGATTCGGAGATTCTATTTTACTGGTCTCGAGGCATACCATTTTAATATTCAAGGGTGAAAACGTTATGTGACCAGGTAATCGACGCACGCAGTCGTTAAGTATTTAGGCATGTATTACATGTAAGCCCTTTTACGAAGTATTTTATGGGTGCCTGACATGAGATAAGATTTTTTGTCATGCGTTGCTCAAAAATTACAAAACACGCATTTTAAATTTATGCTTTGACCTCAATGAATATTTAATCTCTCTGTACTTAAGTTTCCTACTGAGAAGTCGGATTTAAATATTTACACTGCACTTGGAACGAAATATCTATACAAATAAATAAAATTGAAGTGTCTGTTTGTAATGTTAAAATAACAGCTTTCTACTAAATGCATATGAATGTATATACGGAACTTATAACAAAAACACTTTTGAAATTTTTAAAATTTGTCTGTCTGTCGGTCTGTCTGTCTGTCTGTCTGTCTGTCTGTCTGTCTGTCTGTTTGTTCCGGCTGATCTCCGAAACGGCTGGACCGATTTCGTCGGAACTTTCACTGGCAGATAGCTGATGTTCTAAGGAGTAACTTAGGCTACTTATATTTGAGAAAAAGAACTAGGGTTCTGAGCAATATAATTAAAACCCTAAAGTACACGCGGGCGAAGTCGCGGGGAACAGCTTGTAAATAAATATATTCTATCATCGCACGACCATATTGTGGAATACTGTTATCTCCAGCTTTTCCGGACAGATATGACTTAGTGAGTTAGTACCGTGTAGTGGCGGTGTAAGAATATCCATTCCACTATCCCATATAATGCCATTGGTGTCATTAGAGGCGATAGAGGGAAACAAATCAGGATGAGACGGGCTGCAGCATCTTCCTAATAACGACCGAAAATTGAAAGACTGCGGTTGCCAACCCGATAGCCAAGCGTGGCAACTATGGCAAATATCCCTCCTATAAGGCAATCTATGGGCCTTTAATAGTCTGTAACGGTAATGGTATGACTTAGTGGCCATTAAGGAAATTGCCTTGGAAACGCACCTGCAGTTCCTCATGTGATGCATATGTTCATCACTAAGGGTGGCGGTGATCACATACCATTAGGTGACTCGTTTGCCTACTCTCCTATAAAAATTATTTTGTAGGAAATGCTTAGTTGTGATACGGATAGTAAACGACAAACTTATAAGCTTGAGATAGAATCAAGTGCAGATAGCCAGTTACATAGGTACCTAATTTAAAAGTTTCAACGACCGGTTCTTACTGGTGCTAAGGGGGTCATGCAGTTAAATGCTGCATCAAGGGATTAAATATATTTAAAGATATTCTTTTTCTTTCTTTATTTTTTTTTTACTTATTATAAGCCAGTGTTTGGCCACAATCGCACCTGGTGGTAAGTGGTGATGCATCCTTAGATGAAAAATGTATATTAAATCCATATATATAGAGTCAGAGGTAATATTTTTATAAAAATTTAATTTATGAGTCAGTTATAATTTTGTAAAAGACTCATTGTCCATTATTTTGCTACCTGCTTGTTTTCTCAGGAAATGGTTTGAAATATATTTGGTCGTCAAAGGGAGATCTTCCGACGGTCAGTATGTTTAGTCCGGAGAACGCTTAGCGCTCTATGTTCATTGTACGAAGCTTTTTATATAATTTATTCGAAAACTTTCATATCTTGATTTTGGCCTCGGTTGAAATTCGGTGCGAACAAAATGACGTTGAGTCGCGGTGACAAGGCCGCCACAAATGGAAAAAGATAATATCATTCATAAATCTCTCCCGAAGCAACCACTCCGACTGTTAGCTGTAGACCTTTATTCAACTACTTTCTTCGAATCCGCACAATATAATGTAATAAGTTCTTGTTAGAGCCAAGCCAAAATAGTACTTAATTACTCAAAGAACGCTTAGAAAATTTCTTTCTTTCAGGGATATGCTGCCCCTTCCGAACAAAACAAAAGAGAACTATAAAGTGTTTATATACCGCCTTAAAAACCCTGAGCTGGACTTATTTAACTTCATCGATGCCGTGAAGACTTTCTTCATGCTCGCTGATACTAGGCTAACAGAAGAGGATGACATACCGTCCGGGGAGATACCGATTTTTGATTCGGCTAATGTCAGTCTGAAGTTTATGGGGAAGGTGAACATATCCGTGCTTAGGAAATATATGCTATACACACAGGTCAGTGTTTGTATTTGACAATGATATTTTCTAGTCAAATTCAATTATTAAGGATATTATAATTTTTTTACCCGACTACGCGACAGAAAAGACAGGGTTCCCCTTACTTGTTAACTTTGTTTATATGTGGGATTTTTATACCCGCAAAGCATCCCGTATTAATAGTTGGATAGATTTTCATTCCATGAGGTGGTTTCTATCGATTCGCCTAATCCATGTTACTATTTTATGTTATTTATAGGCTAGTTGTCTTTATAAAAACATTGTAACGGCCTTAAAATACAAAATGGCGATTTTACGCAGTTGGGTTCTGGATTTTTAATTTACTTTTATATTACCCTATTTTTAAGCGATAAGATGACACCGCATCTGTATTATAAATTCAGCATGCACACTCTTGAAGTACGATGGACTAATTATTGTTCTATAACTCTCTCAGAAACGACAGGAGGCCTGAGTCTAGTGCGATGCACAAACATAGAAGTGAGAGGGATCTGTTCACAGGGTCTGCGGGACGTATTTGAATTAACTTTAACTTTAAATGTTTTTTTGTCCTCTTCAGGAAGCGATCCCAATTAGGTTGAAGCAAGTGCACATTATCAACGCACCCTCGTACATCGGCAAGATTTACGGCTTGTGCAAACCGTTCATAAAATCGGAGGTCGCGAAGTTGGTAAGAAAAAATTTCGTCAAAGTAAACGATAGTTAAACATTAGTGCCTAATGTTTCACCATTAGTATGTGTGGCAACGTTTAAAGCCGCAACTTCCATTTGAATACTGTCGTTAATCACTTCTAATATAGCATATAAAGCTAATTTAAAGTAAATTTAGTGTTAATAGCGGTCACGCAAAACGTACAAAACAAAGATATGTCGTAGGTCTGTGTATTTCTCTGTGAAAATTGGTTGCCAACCTGTCTGTCAAACGTGACAACTATGGTATTAAAGAATAATTAAATTATGTTCTTATAGACTTAACGTAACAAGTTTGCAACTTGTGAATAACTTACTAATATATTCTCTTATATTCTAGCCGTGGATTATATTAAAAATGTAATAGAAAAAGAATCTACAATTTGGAATTCATTATAAATGTAATTGCAGTTTTTGTGCATTTTATTATTTCAGTATTATCATATACTTGTAAATAGATAATTTTGTTGTTACGTCGTTTTAAAAACTGCGACCATACCGCGACTGTAATGTACAATTAAAAGGCGCTATGTACAGGTAAAATTCCACGAGCCAAATTCCACGTCACTGTACAAAGACGTACCGCAAGAACTGTTGCCCGACGAATATGGCGGCAAAGCTGGCACTGTGGATCAGATCAAGAGATACTGGATCAAACGGATTGAGGCCAAAAGGTAACAATTGAATAATATCACCTCGAAGTGATTGCTTTGATTAATAGAAATAAAAAAGGACAACAGTAATTTATTGGATTAGTTTAAAACATTGAATAATGCAAAAGAATCCAGTCTTGGTAATTCACCGTCATCTTTTTTCCCATTTATTATTTTTGTATTCCAACCGTTATATATTCTATAGTGGTTAAGATTTAGAATATCAGATATAGTCCATAAGAGGCTATGGGAAAGACCACAATACCTCATGACTTTCGACAGATACCAATATACATACCGGTGACGAGGAGCATCATCAAAAGGGCTCTACTTCTGGTGCTGTGATCGCAAATCCACCTGCCAAGCATGATTATTTTTTTTATACAGTAAGGGTGACAAACGAGCACACAATCCACAAACGCTGAACAGTAAATAAATGCTGAAGCCCATTTATCAAATGAAATGCCTTGTTTCCAGTAAAAAGGGTCTCCGGTTCTCTACACTCACCATACGAAACACAGCAGTATTAAGATGCTATTTCACGTTGGTATTCTGTGAGGGCGTGGTTCTTCCCCGGTCGAGTCGACACATTCGTGCTACAACTATACTATTAGTATGGCTGCAGCATGGCTCTACCACGTATATTATGCTGTATTAAAGAAACAAGTCAATGATAATATAAGTACATCTTAGAATAATGCGGCTTCTCTAGAATTTAAATCCACTGCTACATATTGCTATAACCATCTTATGTCTACATTAACATAATAATAAATAAATAATGCAGTAACAGCCTGCGTACGTCCCACTGATGAACACAGTTCTTCCCTCACTAATGTGAGCGGCTTAGGACAGGAGTCAGTACACCTACACCGAGCTGCCCCCATTTTGTTGGATTTTTTCTCAGACATTCTGATTTTTTCTCGATATATTCCTTGAGTGCCGAGTAGGCAACTAACAATTTCACTGGTGCCTCCGTGGCCTCCCATACTAATCTCATGTAAACCAAGAGCTGTGATAGTTCAAGGGCTTACGTTCGCAATAAATTTCACAGTACATAGAAATTTGCTGACACCAATAAAAATGTTAATTACGATCCTTTACCGCCCAGCACATGGTAAACAACTAAAATATCGTAAGGAGACCTGAATGTCTGAGGGATAAAAATATTTCGAAGACATGTAAAGTAAATTTACGGCTCCGTGGCGGAGTGACTTAGCAATGAGTTGTTGCGGGAACGGAATAAGTATTTGTATTTTTTTTATAGCATAAGGGTGACAAACGAGCACACAGTCCACCTGATCGTAAGTGGTTGCTGCGGCCCATAGACATCTACATCTATCCTCTATTACAAATCAAAATGTAGATGCGTTGTCACCCGTGAGGACTAAGATGGAATGCCTCATTTCCAGTAAAAAGGGCCTCCGGCCACCTGCACTCACCAAGCGAAACGCAGAGGTAAACCTCTACTTCACGCTGGTTTTCTGTGAGGTCGTGGTACCACCCCGGTTCGAGCCGGCCCATCCGTGCGACAGCAAAAGCTGCCGCGTGGCTCTACCACTGTTAAAAATGGCCTACAAATAATTGTTCCGGGTCTGGATGTTTGTCCTTGTGCACTTTGTGTTTGTAAACTACCTCCACGATACAGGAGAAAATCCTAGTGTGGGAGTAACGTTTAAAAAAAAGAAGTAATTCAACACTGGAGCAGTGCGGCGGGCGGTTGGTCCATACGTAAAATGACCATGGATCGCCTTTTGAACGGGACTGTCCCTTTTCTTGGTCACCTGTCCCGTTGTCCCCAAACAAAGCTCCGGGACACAAAATTGTCCCTTTTACCGAAACGGCGCGAAAATTTAAAACTATGAAGTTTGTCAGACGTCACCTTAGTGCAAGAGCGGGACTGGCCAAACATAACCGTATGGCATAATTTAAAAGTTTCCGCATAAACTCGTTGGATGGAAGTATTCAAACTCTTTCGCACCAACAATCTTCAACATATTTTTTTTTCATTTTAATCGAATATATTTTATGTCTACCTGGTATAAATGCTCCAGTAGAAATAGTATTTTTCTATGTTTAATAAATTGTGGACATCTGAAAAAATCACTTACGGTTCCAGTTATTCTAAAGGCGATGTTGATAACAAAGGTAATAACATGCCTAGAATTTTATTCTTATTTAAAATCATCACCAACTTTATTAAAGGTTTGTTCTATTAACCAATATAATTTTAAAAAAAATATGTTGCATTTAATAATAATTACTGTCTAAGTCCTCAGACTTCTGTAATGATGCTGGTGAATTGGTGATTGATTTTTATTTTTCTCAATTTGTTATAATAAAATAATTATAATTAATGTGAATACTAATTGTATAAGCTTACAGTTTTTCAAAATGAATAACATTAAAAAGTTGTATTTATTTTTATTGTTAACCTGCTTAACTGGAACTCACCCATGACCCGTTTTGAGTTAAAAATAAATGGTCAGTTTATCCATACCGTTTACCGTCCATACGTCTACAATATTGAGGACTATATCCGTCAGATAGGCCGATCTTTTGATAGGCTATACTGGTAATGCTTACGGTAAATTGTTGATGTCTATAACATACCGTTGCAATGCAATGCAATCGAGAGTTTCTTTTTATTGTAAGAAAATACAAAAGTTCAATGTACAAAAGGTCAATGCACGCGTTGTAAATGTTTTTGAAAGTGAGACGCCTTCCAATCAGTTTGTCTGTTACTCGGTCATTGAAAAACTAAAACTATGCAAGCATATTTATATTATGTCATACAAACTTATGAGATTCTTTTTATTTTGCGTTTCTTTTAGATAATATTAAAATAGATAAGGGGCATTAGGGCTATTACGAAAATGGGTTTATTCCAATTTATATTAATTTCTACCAAACGCAGCGAAATAATATATTTACTAAATGCATCTAATCATACGTTACTAATAAATATATGTCGCTGCGTTTGGTAGAAATTCATATACCATATGTGAATTTAACCATTTTCTTATTTGCCCCAATGCACTATATGTAGTATTTATTAACATAAAACAAAAGCTAAAAACTCAAATTATCATACAGTCCTACTCCCTGCGGTTGAGTGCAAAGAATGCTGGCTGCGTTTCCTTGCTCAATTTATTTAGGTTATACTTAGCCATTGGGCGATAAAAGAACCAACCCTATTATTAGTCATATTTAGTTGCTAGTTGCTGCTTTATTTCTTTTTTAATTAATAATTATTAAATAGTAAATAATTAATTACAAAAAATAATATTCCAGGGACTGGTTTCTGGCGAACGACAAGAATTGGGCCGTGGATGAAGCACTAAGGCCGTCCAACTGCAAGGACGACCGAGCGCATCAAGTACGAGATCTGCCGGGCTCCTTCCGCTCGTTGGCCCTCGACTAAAACTCGCTAAACTTGTTATATGTAATTTACATTGTAAACTTCATATAACGAAATTTCGTTTGAGGAAAATTCCCTAAAATGTAGATATTATTTTTCCTCATTACTTATACACAGACTATACACTCTTCGTAGTGTAACACTCATTCTAAATAGCGAAACAATACGTCATAATTTAGAAAGCAATAAACATTTATTAGGTATGAAAATGATGTCGAAATTGATAAGAAATACTATTTGCTCACATCATTTTAACGAATTCAACTAAAACGACGTATTCTATTATTTTTCTTTGATTTAATTCGATCTTGTTTAGAATTATATAAATTTAAACTTTTTAATTAGTATTAAAGTAGAAAAGAAAAATGTTTATTATTGAAATTTTATTTAAAAAGTACTTAAATAAAATTTTAAGGCGTACAAAATTAATACGAAAGTTCACGGATTCTGATAGTTCCCATATGTATCTTATCTTTACCATAATTTTATTCGTTTGTTGTATTTAGTGACTGAAAACAAAGACGTATTAAAAACATCTTAGACTGAAAAGGTATTTATAAAATTAAAAGGAAAACTTAATGCCTCTTTGCTTGACGTATTAAATAAATACCTACATACTTTCATTTATTTCATTACCTTATTTCTCTTTTGTTATTTTCATAAGCTAACGATTCTCACTAGACTTATTTTGGAAAATTTACTTTACTTAGCTTAATCGGATTCGAATAACGTATTCTTGTATTATTATTTGAATATCCATTTTCAAAATCATACATTTTTTGAGATATTTCCTTATTTTACCTACATTTATTACAAGAATAAGATAACGTGATAATTTATGCATAAGTTTATTTTAAAAAAAACCATTTACCTATAGGTCAATAAAGAAAAAAATTCATTTATTTATATTTTTGGGCACTCAGATTAATAAAGAAATATAGACAGAGCGCCGCTTACATTTCAAGTTGCGCGGAAATTATGCCAACCCAAAACCATGCTGAACTTGTTGTGAGATCGCCTTAGAGTATAGATACTATTATTTATTCTGTGGTATAGTGTAAATGCTCTAAGAACACGCACGCACGCATACAATGATTAGCATCTAATATCATTTGCAACCAATGAAGATGAAGGAATATATGAGTGTAAGTGCGTGTCAAGAAGTTGATTATGGTTTTGACGTCATTTAAAATTTACCCGTCTATCTTTTTGTTGGTCTAAAATATTGCAGTGACAAACAAGCTAAAAATCATTAAATAAAAAAGGCAGATACGTTGTCATCTCTAAGTTTAAAATACAATGTCTAACAGCTTGTAACTATCGCGGCTCTCGTATCATTCAAACTGGAACAGTTTGTGGGTACACTTCTGCTTGGCAAAATAAGCATCCATTCCATACATCATCTGAGTTTAGCTTTTTTTTCATTTTGATTTTTTTAATTTGTAACGTAATCAATTATCAATATCTGAAGGCTTAGCGAGTAGTATGATATGCGATGTTTTCAAATTTGAAGCTTGGTTAATAATCTTATTCGTGTACAGTGCAGACTCTAAAGAGTATACAGCGAATCAGTTAGTAAGTCAGAATTATTTAAACACAGATAAGAAGATAAGATTACTTCAAAGTTTTATGCGCTATTGACTCTGTATTCCCGTTTGGTGTGGCGACACTGAAGTTAAAAAAGTTAAAAATAACTTTTTTGAACCCCTGTGAATCTTCCTAAATGTAATTATTGCTTAAAAGTTCTTCATAAAAGTAAGTATACGGACAAGAGTTGTGCGACGACGGAAATGCGAATCATAATAATTGGCTCGATAAAAAATCTATAAACATGACACTAAATTACGATTTAAACCTACTTTGCAGAGATTCCATCATGCAACCGTGTGAAAAAGGTTTATTATTTTTTAGGGAATGTTGAGTACACATTTTACAAAATAGTTTCTATTATATCACGTTTTTATTAAGTCACTTTCTTGTTTGTCCGTCTGTATATTGTTCCGGGTACTCGTAGCACAACTCAAATTTCGAGCTTTTTCCGATGAGCTAAAGATTTGAAATTTTAAACATAGCTCAGTACCGGATAACAATGTAGGAATATAAAAAAAAAACTACTAAAACTGCTAAACTAAAAATTCAATATACCACGTGTATATTAAATTTTAGTACATAATTAAAAAAAAGTCACTTCTTATCTTATGACAAAAATATGCAAAATCGAAATATAAGTGCTCGTGGCCGCACGATTTCTGCTAAATAAAAAAAATAAAGCATCGACTCAAGAAGCTAAATTGTTTAGAAATGATTTTTTTCTCTTTACGGAAATATGAAAAAAGAAAAAGTAGCTTGCATTTTTCTTTAATTAGAACCACTATTATTTAAATACGATTTTATACAAGAAACTTTGTTGTAGAACATCTTTTCTATCCGCTGGTGTATGTATAAACCTCTTAATTTTTTCTGCGGCTAAACAGCAGCTGCTGTGCTCTGTCTTCTAGAGAGAAAGTATAAATACAGTTCATTTATAATCCTCAGAGGTGACAATGCAATTCTCTATTGCTTCGTTTGAAGTTGGTTGACCTGGTCAATGAGCTGTAGCAGCCACTTTACAATCAAAGTTAGCTAAACACCTTTATTACTACAGATTATATCATCACGGATTATATTTTATAAACGGCGATAACTAAAGACTCTACCACGTAAAAATATAATTTTTACGTGGTAGAGTCTTTAGAGTTAGAGCCTCGCTGCAACTCGTATAGGTCGGCTCGACCAGGGAGGACCACACTCTCTCAGAATACCAGCGTGAAACAGCAGAATAATTCTACTGCGTTTCGTTTTTTATTATAGGCTAAGGGTGTCAAACGAGCACACACTCCACCTGATGGTAATTAGTTGCTGTGGCCCATAGACATCTACATCTATCCTCGACTACGAATCAAAATGCAGATGCGTTGTCACCCGTGAGGACTAAGATGGAATGCCTCGTTTCCAGTAAAAGGGGTCTACGGTTCTCTACACTCACCATACGAAACACAACAGCGATAAGCTGCTATTTAAATAACGTTAACGTTGTTGTTCTGTGAAAGTCTGGTCCTTGGAGCCGATTCAGACGTGCTACAACTATACTACTGTTACGAGCTGGGGGTTCTAGACAATTAAAAACTGCCGATTGAATTACCAAAATTGACACTTTAATTACAGAACACTAATTACAATCTAAAACCACACTAATAATAAAACACAATTGTACTACTGATCACTTTAGTTCGCAGTTATTTCGCTTCGAAGTATTCTCTTGTATCGCCAATTCAATACTGACTCGGTCGTTGTCTATACCGGCTTTATATAGGGACTCAGATAGTTTCCAGAATCTTCTACTGTAGAAACATCTAGAATGTTCGAGTACATATCGGTCCTGAAATTTCTAGAAGGATCTTGACTCTCCTAGTTCTGCTACTCGACACTAGAGGGCGCTAGTGGTAACTAGTGTTGACATATACAAGACATTAATAGTTGCGCGCAACACTACTAATATAGCTGCAGTATAGTTCTATCACGTGTAAAATATCGTTGTATGCCGAGTATAGAGAACCAGAGTCCCTTTTTACTAGTAACGAGGCATTCAGAGGCAGAGGGACGTCAATCACCTCAGTCCCCCGTGACCATGGGTGCTGCAAAGTACCCGAAACGTCGGGAATTAATAAAAAAAGTTAATTAAACGCGATAGAACCCGTAAAAGTAGTTTTATTCAATGTATTTTATAAAACAAAATATTATTTTTCTTACAATTAAAATTGTAATTCGCTGTATCGAAATTGGCGCTCATCGTAAACGCGGGTTTACGACATCGACACGCATCCACTATGAACAAACCTGTTATAAGTCACCTTGAAAGTTTAATCACCGAATATCGACAGGCCTCGATTCGAAGAAAGCTTACTGTTATATAACTGTACTGTTGTAAGGATGTTGTTCTTCTTCTCTTCATCTAGCTCGTTAAAGGTCATTGCTAGGTACGGGTTTATCCCGTCGTAGCGGAACTGTTTACAGTCAACCTAGTTAGTGAATGCTTTGCCCAGAGACACATAATATATATGCTAAATTAAGAATTTAAATGCAGATGCGTTGTCAACCCTAAGAAGTAAAATTGAATACCTCGTTACTAGTAAAAGGTGCCTCCGGTTTTCTTCACTGATCAGACGACAGAGCCTACATTAAGCTGCTATTTTACGTTTATATTCTGTGCGAGCATAGTCCGTCCCCGCTCAAGCCTACCCACTTGTACTGCAGCCATAAACTGCAGCGTGGCTCTACCATGTATAAATCACCAGAAACTCCGGATACTGCTATTAAAGTACAATAAAATTCAATCAATTCTCGCATCTTTTTCGCTGCCCCCTTTACAAGTCGGATATTTTACAATATATATTATAGGATATACGAAATGGTATACCGCTATCTTTCTATGGCCAAGAGGTTTTTCTAGCTTTTCCCTTACTTTTATCGATATCTGAGGAAAGATATCGATATCTGAAGAAACGGCATTGATATTGTTATACTGGCTGATTTTGAAGAAGGCTATTGGGTTAAGTATCTGGATGTGCTTTTGGCATAACAAAAAGTAAACCATTTTTTTTTTAACTCAAAGAAGTGAATGACTTCACTAAAATGTGTTACGACTACCGAAATCAGTCTAAAAATATTGACATTCCATATTTGCATTGTCATAATATGAAAAGGTCACGTTGATATTTATTTAAAAATGAATAAACACAACTTTCGCTATTTCCGACACTCATCATGTGTAACAGTTAAATCCGTGCGTAAATTAAACCAGATTTTATTATACACTAGCTGTGCCCGCGGCGTAGCTCGCGTATACAGGTTTTACATAAACAATTTGTCGTTTAGGTAAGAGAATATTAAACGATTTATTTCATTACTGTATCAATAAGTGGTAACTAAATAAATCATTATCATCAAAGTTCTAAGTCGTTTATGATAGAGCTTCTGTGTAAACGACGTGAGAAGTAGGCTTAGCCGGGGTGTACACTAAAAGGTTACGGGGGCTACTAACGCGGCAAAAAGCAACATAGAGTTGGCCATGTGCAAAACAGTCAGTACTGAGGTACACTCCTACAACGCGTAAAGTTTGACCTTGCGCTTTATTTACGGTCATCGCATAACACACGCTCACTGTAACTGGGAACTGAACGCGCTTAAAACTGAAAGTAAAGTTACTTCTTAATAGAGGGTTTTTGGGCAGTGCTGCCAGATAAAAAAAAACTAATTCAGCTCTAGGACAACACAAAAAGCGCTAGATTTCATGAAAACAGCGCTTTAAAAAAGCCCTAGATTTCGCGCTAAATTAACTACAAACAAAGTTTGTGTTTTTTTATATAATCATAATAAAGAAAACAACATTAAGTTTTTTTTCTGGCAATATTTTTTTGATGTATCAATACTTCGCAGGACATCGACTTATAATTATGGCAATTGCTGTCAACAGTAGTTAGTACTGTACGAACAATAAAAATGTCATTAATTGTTTTAAAGTGCAATGTATTTCGCAACTTAGTTTCTGATGTCAGCATCTGATAGCGGTTGCTACACAGTTTCTTTGTGTTATAACTTCTAAGTAACTTTTAACTTAGCTGTGCTCTAAGCAATTGACTGAAACTGAATAAAGCAAAATAAATGCGTTGCCAAAACCATGAACAAAAACTTTAATAAAGGGGATTTCCCCGCTTATAGTCGCCGGTAAAAAAATCAAGTTGATCATCCTAAAGGGGAAGCCAGGAGATCCATAGCACAGGGTATCCTAGTTTGGACTCGTCTCCCATGCTCTTTGTTTTGTGGAAAAAATATGTTTGAAAAAGATAAACTGCAATGTACTATTTGTGGGAAAAAATAATAAAGTTCATTATTATTATTATCGGTAATGTGGACTAACAGTGCTGCTATAAAAGAGTTAATAACCCGCTAGTCGCTAAAATATTGAAATGTTTGCTAAATACACCAAAAAGCGCTGGATTAAGCTAGGTGCTAAAATTTCGAAATGCGCGCTATACATTCCAAAAAAGCGCTAAATCTAGTTCCCAATGCGCTAAAATGGCAGTACTGATTTTGCGTATATTATAAATACAATATCACGACATTTCGTTGGAAAATTTTTATTTTTGGTCGGATTCCGTTGTATGGCTTCGATGGATACAAATTTCTTCAGTACCTACCTAAGTCTCAATACGATTCATCGGCGAAAAATCTCAACACAGCAATTCAGATAAGTTTGTAATTTGTACAACTCCATCTATTACGTCCTTTGTGTGAGAAAACATCCTTTTTAAATCTCTTTTTGTGTTTTAAGTATAAATATATTAATTATTATGGAACGTTTTTTTTACACACAAAGCTTTTTATTACTATTTCTGAGATTTTATGGCGCCATTGAACAAATTCGAACCTACATTTCAAAATAATAATCATTACTTTCGATAGAATTAACCAATTTTAATAAAACAAAGATTAAATGTAACTCGAAGATACGCTTTATGATTTTCTTAACGATTTCTTTGAAAATAAAAGATGTTTACTTTAGACGTGTAGCGTTCATATAATAACAGACAAATAGACATACAGACAATTCTAAAAATTATAAAATGTTCTTATTTAATTATTTTCAGTTTCCCATAATGATTTTAGCCACCAAAATATATACCTATACAATGTACAGAAAGAGACAACATGTTATTATCATCATTTTTATTATATGTATATATTTAAAGAGAGATGGCGCTGCTAACATCAATTCTAAAAATAAAAGAGATTAATTGACGCGATTGATGCATTATATAAAACGCAAGAGAACTTATAAATCAGTGCCTGCACAGTAAGCAAAAAATAAAGTTTGACTCTCGCCAAAACCAACGCAATTGTTAATAGCTCTTTTAAAATTTGATTTACCACATAGAGTACTCGGCGGTAAAGAATAAATTGAGTTTGTCAACACGCAGTAGGGCAGCGAGTAATTTAATAAAGATTAGCAGTAAATATGAAAACTCATCTACAGGAAAGAAACACATTGCAATTGCATTACATTTTCACAACACCACCATCTATCGAAGAAATGGGAAAACTATTGTGCTTCAGATTTAGTTAATAAGGTTAATATATTTTTGTATAATATATTTAATACGTTCTTTAATACTTTTGTTTACTGCGTTTTAGATATACATAATTATATCATTATTTTACATAATTTAACTATGATTTATGATATGATATTAGTTTAAAATGCACTTGATGACTCAAACAAAGCCACCGTTG